TTTTTTTTTTTTTTTAAAGAATCAGCTGAATTCTTTCTTTAATACAAGATTTCATTAAGACCTCCAACAGATAGTTGAAAAAAAGTGGAGGTGGACCAGTTGAAGCGGGAGGGGGGCGGACTGTGGCCAACAGCCCCACGTGCCTGGCCTGTAGTCTGTAGTTCACCTCTCCCCAACATCACCACCTCACAGCACCATTTGAAAGCCATCTGAATAGCTCATATGCTCCTTGAGGACCAAGATCTTGACCGGGGAGGTTCTTAGATGTTCTCTGAGAGTGAGGTCTTTAAGGAAAGATACCTAAATACCAATTCTCCATCCAGTCCCTGGGCTTAGATTATGGGCCCTTTTCCTACTGACTCAGACCACTGGTAACACTGTTTTCTTCTCAAGGAAAAGACACATCCAAGAAGATCCATGATTAATGCAAATAAACCACATCTGACTGCACTCAGTATAGCCCAGAGACTTGTGGGAACATCCCTGCTTTGGCCACTCATGGCCCCGAGATGGGGCTGGTCCTTAGCAGCTGGGAACAGATGCTGGGGCAGGAATGAGCAAGCAGGATTAACAAGTGTAACATCTGTCTGTGGGCCCCAGCTGTTCCCTTCCAGCTGCTCATCTCCCAGCTAAGGGGCACCCAGGGTGGAAGCTACCAGTTCCCTTAGATGCCGTCCTCCTGGCCTGCTTGCCAGAGCTTTGTTCTTCATATCGGGCCAAGAAGAGTCCCCAGTGTGAGCCTGGCTTGCTGGAACTTAAAGGAGTAGTGGGAAGGGAAGTTGCCCTTTAAACCAGAAAAGATGCTGAAGCAGCACAGGCAATGAATGGGAGGTGGTAAAGCAGGTTACCCTGTTCCTCTTCCCGAGAGTCTGGAAAATCCCTTCCTGCTCACTGGGTGGTCAATCCTGAAGAATGAGTTACACATGGTTTTTATTTCGGTAGCTGTGCAAACTACCCTGGAGTCTGCTTCTCCCAAAAGAGGTGGCATTGGGGGGTTGGACCATGGGTACCAGACCTCTGCCATCCTGGCCCATCTGCCTGGGAGGGGCAGCATTTCCCTGACAGAAGAGCCAACTGCAGACTCAAGGATCAATGTTCTGGGGACATCAGCCCCCTTCCCAACTTCCCAGCTGGCCAGCTCACCTGAGGTTCCCTTTGTTGGTGGCATACTTGATGTGGTTGCAGATGTAGTTGTACATCCCATGAGCCGTGGTGCAGTCTCGGGCATCGAACACCTGGAAGAGGTGCATTGTGGGACTGATTGCTTCCTCCTTCCCTCCTACGTCCCTGGTGCAGCCTTGACATTTTAGGGGAAGCTAGAGTCTGCTCTAAGGGCTACCCCACCGGGGTCCTGTACTGGGCTTGTAGAATAGCTATACACCCACATCTCACTTACTGACATGGTTTGGCTCCAAATATCAGGCTGTTACACAAAAATCAGCATTATGTGAAAATGGAGGAGGATCACATCAGCTCACGAAATGAAGGACGACTGTAACTGCCAAATGACGTCATTACATGACTGTCAACTTACATCATTACATAACTGCCAAATTACTGAGAATTTATGGCCCAGCCAAGCTGACCTTAACCATCACAGCCAGCATTACTCTTACCTTGGCATTTGTTACTGTCAGACATATGCTGTTATTGTGCAAAACAGTTAAATAGATTTTTCTTTTCTTTTCTTTACAATTGTGGTCCATATGAAATGTCAGATAATGATAGTTGATAAGTGAGGAGTAGGTATATATATACATATAGATAGAGATATTTATATAATATATAAATATAACTATATGATAGATAGGACCTCTGGTAGCGTGGTGCCTAAGGCACTTGACTGCTAACCAGAAGGCTGGTGGTTCAAACCCACCAGCCACTCCTTGGAAGGAAGGTTGGGCAATCTACTTCTGTAGTGATACTGCCTTGGAAACCCAAGGAGTGGTCGCTATGAGTTGGGTCTGACTTGATGGCACACAACAACAGCATATGATAGATAGACCCCATCTTTGTTGAGTCAATTCCAACTTATAGTGACGCTATAGGACACAGTGGAACTGGCCCATGGGGTTTCCTAGGGTATAATCTGTATGAGCACAGATCGCCAAGTCTCCTCTTCCTTGGAGCCACTGGTGGGTTTGAACTACTGACCTTTCAGGGCCACCACAGTGCCACTAAGGCTCCTGATATATATATATGTGTGTGTGTATGTTGTATATGTGTGTATATATGTATGTATATATGAGTTGGGGCTGACTCGATGGCATATAACAACAAATGTATGTATGTATATACATGTGTGTGTGTCTATATATACACATATACATACACACATATATGTATATATATAAAATATAAATCTATCTATCTATCTATCTAATCTACCTTAAAAACCTCAGTCAATCAGACCAGGAACAGCCCTTAATGGTAGGCACAGAGTATAAATATGTATGAGAAAGGGGTGTTGGGTAGAAGAGGGAATTTTAATGAGCTAGTTACATACACTGTTAGGTGATTAGGTATTAAAAAACAACCCAGACCAAAACAAGTCAAACAAAAAGCCCTGAATCTGATAATATGCTACTCACAATTTTACTCCCCAGAGGGGGCGTATATACTAAGGGACACAAAATCTAATGCTTTCGAGGACTAGGCAGATAATATAAGTAGGCAAAGAGAGAAGGTGTGAGACAAAAGGGAACGGTGGGGTCTGTGGTAAACTGGAGTATATAAACCCTACTAAGAGACAGCCTGGTAGCATGGTGGCTAAGGCACTTGACTGCTAACCAGAAGGCTGGCGGTTCAAACCCACCAGCCACTCCTCGGAAGGAAGATGGGGCAATCTACTTCCGTAGTGATACTACCTCGGAAACCCAAGGAGGGGTCGCTATGAGTCGGGTCCAACTCGACGGCACATAACAACAACAATAACAAGAGATAGTCATTTTTAAAAAAGCACTGTACTGGATAAATAAGATGTGACTGTAGGTCAGACTCGGCTATGGTCTGAGAATTTAGGACCCCACGATCACCATCTGAGAGGACATCATGGCTATCAGGTTCCTTGGTGGGATCTGACCCATTTGAAAGGCCCATCCTCCCCTCCCCCTTTGGAGGGCTCTTCAAGGTGTCTGAGCCTCCCTGCCCACCTGCAGCTTAGACCACTGGATCCTGCCAACACAGCGGGAGGCGTTCCGCCAGGCGTGCTTGGCCCCGTAGATGAGTTCCGTGTCCTTGAGCTGGTAGGTGCAGGTCGTCTCAATTTCTTTGCTCACCTCTTCCAGCCTTTCCATGTGAGCTTTGGAGCCAAATCTGAGTGAGGAGGGAAGGGACATGGGAGCATCACCTCTCACCTCAATTAGATGTTAGTTGGAGGCCTACAGCCACAGAAAGTCCTAAGTGGATTTCTGGACACAGTAGTTTGAGCATGAAGCAGAGATTGCAAACTCAAATACCCAGAACAGCCTGGCAGTATATATGCGACTGGACCAGCATGGTGGGGACTGTGACAAAGAGCAAGCCCATGCCTTGTCCAAGGTGGGCTGCCCTGACTCTTCTCCGACCAGTCACTGCCTGGTAGGAATGGGAGAGAGCCCAGTGTTGCCAGATCTTCCAAGAGAAATTGAGATCTGATTTTTAATGGGAACACTTGCAATTTTAAAAAATAACTAATTCAATTTATTTATTTGGTGTTGAGAATATACATAGCAGAACATACACCAATTCAAAGTTTCTACGCATGCAATGCGGTGGCATCAATCATATTCTTTGAGAGGTGCGACCATTCTCTCAGCCTCCTTTTCTGAGCTGTTCCTCCCCATTAATGTAAACTCACTGCCCCTAAACTTCCTATTTAATCTTTCAAGTTGCTGTTGTCACTTTGATCCCACAAATTAAAAAAAAAAAAAAAAAGCCCAACGAGAGAGAAAAATAGTTTCTCATAGTTCAGCTAAACTATTGTTTGGTTTTAAGGAGACTCCAGGGAATGCTTTTGGTTTAAGGCTTAAAGATTATCTCAGGGCAATAGTTTTTTGGGCTGGAATTTTTCTAATTTTTAATTGATGGTAATGATTTCAATTTCAGAACGCTAAAAAAATCAATATAAAAAATGTAGGCTTCCCAAAAAGTCCGCTGTGGTTACCAAAAAACCAAAAAAAAAAAAAAAAGACTGTGGTTAGGTGCCATCAAGTCGATTTTCGACTCACAGCTGCCCTACGCGTGACAGTACAATTGCCCCAAAGGGTTTCCTATGCTGTAATCTTTACAGAAACAGATTTATCACTGGGTGGCTTCAAACCACTGACTTCCTGGTTAGCAGCTGAGCAACCACTGTGACACCAGGGCTCCTTCCAAAAAAGTATACAGAATCCTACAACCAACATCGATGTCCCAAGACAAAGAAATAAACAAATCCGGCTACAGTTTCTTGGGGAATCATAGCCTACTCTCTCCCCAGACGAGCCTGCTACCTCGAACCTGGCATTTTCCATTCGTATGCACTTATGCTTCCTTGATGTTCCTAAACTACGTATAGCTTTGCTCTGCGTGCTTTAGGAGTTTATATAAATGGCGCTATGCTGAACGTGTCCTTCTATAACTTGCCCCTTCTCTCTTTTGTTCAAGGTCATCGGTGAGCTTCAGCCTCATAAACACCCAGAGCTTTATTATCAGAGTCCCTGAGTGGCCCGAATGGTTAGCGTGCTCAGCATTTAACTAACATTTTGGAAGTTTGAGTCCACCTAGAGGCTCCTTAGGAGTTCTAGTAGCATAGTGCCTAAGGCACTTGACTGCTAACCAGAAGGCCGGCGGTTCAAACCCACCAGCCACTCCTCGGAAGGAAGGTTGGGCAATCTACTTCCGTAGTGATACCACCTCGGAAACCCAAAGAGGGGTCGCTGTGAGTCAGGTCTGACTCCACAGCACGTAACAACAACAACAGAGGCTCCTTGGAAGGAAGGCTTGGTGATACACCTCTGAAAGTCAGCCACTGAAAACCCTCTGGGACACAGTGCTATGGTGACACACACGGGCTTACCATGAGTCGAAGCTGACTTGACAGCAACTGCTGACAGCATTTTCTTACCTGGAATATACTACAAAGTGTTCATACCTCCTGCTGTGGATGGAGTTGAGGTGGTTTCCTGTAGCTTCTTTCACTTTAGTTTTTTCCTATTATAATCAATATTGCAGTGAGTATTTGTATGCATACCTTCGTATGAACATGGGTGAGAGTTCCTCTAGGGTGTATACCTGTTGTTGTTGTTGTTTGCCGTCAAGTCGGACTCGACTCATAGCGACCCCTTCTTGGGTTTTTGGGGCAGTATCACTACGGAAGTAGAATGCCCAACCTTCCTTCCGAGGAGCGGCTGGTAGGTTTGAACCACCAGCCTTCTGGTTAGCAGTAAAGTGCCTTAGGCACTATGCCACCAGAGCTCCCCTGGGTGTATACCTAAGGTATGGAATTGCTTGAAATATTTCAAAATTTAAGCAAAAGTTTACAGGACAAAGTAAACATCCTGAGCCATATGTGGCCCTTGGATCACCAGTTTTTAACCTCTAGCATTCACAGGCACACGGGCATTCTGTATTCAGGCCTTGGTTCAATTCTCTGTGAAGTTAAAGCTCAAGTCTTTGTCCCTAGCCCTTAATAATAATGTACCCCAGACTCCCCAGAGTCAAGATGAACTTGCCTTTTAATTGACGAGTAATACTGATCAATAAACTCTTTGGCAAGAGGAAAGAGCTTTTCTTTTGGGCGAACTTCTTCGGGCTTTCGCATCTGCTGAGAAGGGAGCATGATGGAGCCCATACAGATGTGCTCGGAGCATCCAGATTCCTAGAAGGACAAGAGAGGGACCTGGCCATCACTTGGTTTTACTGAAGTATGGCATGTGTTAGTCTGTGAACTTGAATTCTGACATTTGTGGTAGAGTTTGGCTGGACCTTAATTCCCAAACAGTTCCTCAAGTACCAGCTTCTGATCATTGTCGGACATGGCCATCAGCCTGGGTAAGGGGCAGTAAGTGGCATGTTAAGGTTGTGAAGGTGTTTGCTTAACTTAGGGGAACAGGGAATTCCTGGTAGGCATTCTGTGGCATCAGAATCTTTGGTCCTGAATTCCAAAATAGTTTTTGAGCCCACCTGGATAAAGTGGCTGAGTCACCATAGTAGCTGAGTTACCACAGTAGTTCTTTTGAATACATATATGGTAGACTGATTGAGAAACTGGCCCCAATTCTTCCCCTTCTTGTATTCACATCCTTCACAATGTGACTTTAGAGCTTTCCCCAATATGTAGAGCTAATCACCTATTCTTTGAATCAGAGCTGGCTCTGACCGGAAGAACATGGTGGAAGCGGCACTGTGCCAGTTTCAAGCCCAGGCCTCAAGAGGTCGTGCATGCTTCTGCCCGTTCTCTCAGAAGCGTATAAGCACCTTGTGAACAAGCCCAAGCTAGCTTGTTGGAAGACTAAACATCACACGAAACAGCATTGAGTTCTCCCTTCCAGGGCCACCCAAGACTGGCCAGCCCTTAACTGAACCCTCAGACACATGAGCAAGGCCAGCTGAGAAGAACTGAGTCTAGTCCAAAGCAGCAGAACCACTCACCAACCTGTTGATGTTTGAAAAATAATAAATAATAATAATAATAAATAAGGGTAGTGGTTTTAAGGCACTAGGACATTTTGTTACACTGCAATAGCTAACTGATACAACATTCTTCCAAGAGGCCCTCTTTCAACAAAAACGTGAGGCAACAGGTTGACTTGTGGACTGTTAAAAATACGATATGAAAACTCAGAGGACACACTGTGGAAGCAAGGGAAGGGCCTGTCCAACACTCCGTCAGTGTTCAGACAGACAGACAGACAAAGAGAATGTATGCAGAGCCAGTGATGCCCCTTAGAGTCTATGTGTACTACAAAGTACACACATAAAAAAGTATTTATGTAACTGAGTGCATCTCCACCCATGATTCTCAACTGGGTGATTCCTTCCCCAGGGGACATGCTTTGTTGTTACAACTTGGAGAGCGTGTAACAGACATTTAGTGGGCAGAGACCAGGCCTGTTGCTAAGCGTCTTGCTCCCCCACAACAAGGAAGTACCCAGCCCCACATATGGACAGCGCTGAGGCTGAGCATCCTTGGCCGATACCCTGTGGGGATACTCACCAACGTGGTCTTAAGGTGCAGGGTGTCCGTGAGAACCACGTCAGTCTCCCAGTTCTTGACCTTGAGGAAGCGGGGGCACTTGGAGGGGCTGCCGTTCTTGGTGGGGGACTGTTTTTCTGAGGCCGGGGGCTGCAGGAGAGGGTGCAGAGAGAGCGTTAAGCAAGGTCCTGAGAGGACTGTACAATTCCACTCCTGGGACTTGGAGAGCCTTGTTCCTCCTGGACTCTGCCTGAGTCATCTGCTACCTGCACACAGAGAAAGGTGGCCTCCTCCCAGCTGCACACATGCGTGCAAGGTGGCCAGCAACCTGGTCCCTCCACCCTGCAGAAGGAGGCACCGTGGAAGGCTTGGTTCTGGAGAAAGCTGTCAGGAACTCAGAGGTGGTCTCCCAGTGTCTAGCACAGGGTCTGGCACATAGTAGGTGCTCAATGGATGTTTGTTGGATGAATAATGACTGAAAGGACATCGTCAGCCTCTCTGAATGCTAAAAGCTCTCAGGAATGAGGAATTAAACCTAGGACTTTGTCAAGTTTCTTGGATTTCTGGACCTTCTTTCTACAGCTCAAACTCACCATTCCTGGCAAATGCAATAGAACACAAACCCAGAAAAAACAAACTCACTGCCATCGAGTCATTTCTGGCTCATAGCAACCCCCATTGGGTTTCTGAGGCTGTAAATCTTTACAGAAGTAGATTGCCCAGTCTTCCTTCTGTGGAGCAGCTGGTGGATTTGAACCACCGACCTTGTAGTTAACAGTCAAGTCCCTTATCCACTATACCACCAGAGCTCCAACAGAACACAGAAAGGTGAATTGGAAAGTTTTGAAGCATAGAATATTTTCCCCAATTTTCAAGCTTCTGCCTTTCCAAAATGCCAAGCTTGTTCCTGCCTCAAGGCCTTGGCATTGACTATTTCTTCTATCTGCAACACCTTCAGTCCCCACTGGTCCTCACCTCTGTGAAGAAACTGCTCATAGGTGAAGTGGGGTCAGTCTCAGGTTGGCCAGTGTTGGCCAATCAGATCTGTGTTAGACCTCATTGATAAGGATCACATTCTGTCCTGGATGTTTCTGAGAAGTTGTCTATCTGTCTGGCACAAGGTGTGGCCCTGCATCAGACAAGTATCGGTAGTTAAGGGACAGTAGTGGGCACACCCTGACGCAGTAGCCAAGCAAGGGAGGCATGAAGACAAGCCAATGTCGAGTGACCCTCTGGTCGAGGAGTAAAGCAGAAGGCAGTGACATTCAACAAATATTCACTGAGCACCTACTATGTTCTAGGCTCCAAGAATTGACAGAATACCCATTGAGATGTTTCAACAGATGGATCCAACACCGGAAGTGCACACTCACTCACGTCAAGACTTTTGGAAGGCAGCTACCTGGCCAAACAACTGGAACAGATCCATATTTGTGCCCATTCCATAGTAAAGTGATCCAACAGAATGTGGAAATTATCAAATAATATCATTAATTTCACAGGCAAGTATTATTTTACTATCAGAAGTAGACTGCCAGGCCTGGAGGCTGTGCTGGAACCTGTCCACCCTGGGTGACCCTGCTGGTATTTGAAATACTGGTGGTATAGCTTCTAGCATCACAGCAACACACAAGCCACCACAGCATGAAAAATTGACAGATGAATGTTGGCTCGCTCTCTATTAGTGGAAAATATTTGCATTTTCCTTCTCTGACAGGTTTCTGTGTTACATAGGTTTCAGCTTTTGCAGGTTTTACTATATTATTATTATTGCCACTACCAGTACAACTTCCAATACTAGTATGATTACTGCTACTCCAAGTATCATTAAGATACGACTACCATACTTGGCGGGAGCTCTGGTAGCATAGTGCCTAAGGCACTTGACTGCTAACCAGAAGGCTGGCGGTTCAAACCCACCAGCCACTCCTCAGAAGGAAGGTTGGACAATCTACTTCCTTAGTGATACTGCCTCGGAAACCCGAGGAGGGGTCTCTATGAGTCGGGTCTGACTTGACAGCACATAACAACAACAACAACCATACTCGGCAGCATCAGAAGGAGGATCTGGATACATTCTTCCTTTACTCCCCAAACTCTCTGCATGCACTTTCTATCCTGCTGGACTCTCAACTATTTTACCTATTTCTCCATATGAAGCCACATACATATAACGCCACTGCCTTTGAAGGCCTGGACAGACAGTCTCAAAACATCTTTTGGATTCCGTCTGCCAGCAGCCGTGTGGTGATGGATGGCGAGTCTGGGCAGATCTGATGAATTCCTCTGATGGGGCTCACATCCTGCATCCTTGAGAAAAGAAATTCTAGCTTGCCAGTGTGGAAGGCACACGAGCCTTCCTGCCTAAGCACCGGGCTTCACTCTGTTGGTGCAGAGACTCTAATGCTCCCATGAACACCAAGAACATAGGGAGGATCACAGACAAGGTGTTGGCGTTGGGGCTGGGCTCAGGACCTGGGGGGTGGTGGGAGAGCAGACTGGCGTGAAGTGTAGCATGACAAGAGAGGAGGTGTGGGGTGTGGCTGGTGGGTGGGGAGCCCGCCCACTTCATTGCCAGGGAGCAGGAGGCTCGAGCTCACAGGCCTAATGAAAGAGGCCATCTGTTGAGGTTCCAGATGTGTGCAGGGTGGTCATTAACGGCCCAGCAATTGGCTGCCTGCACTGATCAGCGCCTCCCTGTGCCCTGGCTTCACTGGATTGCATGCTTGAAACTAGACATTAGCAGGCCTCTGGCAGGGCTGTTGTACTTTAGGCTTTGATGTTTTAATTAGCCCGCAGTAATATTAGATGACTCAGGAAGGGACCAACGGGGAGATTAATATAGTAGTCAGGGGCCCCCGTAGGCAGGATGCAAATGGCTTTTCTGAGTGGGGACCACAGTCCTGGCACTGAAAATGCAGATTGAGTGGCCCTTGTGAGGTTCTTATGTGAGGACAGGGCTCGAGTGGGTTTTAGGCTCTGGCTACACTTACAGGTTACGGGATAGGGATCTGAGCTAGAACGATGCAAGTTTCTCAGGAGGGGAAGACAGTGGCTGGCTGGCCCTGGGCTCTGTGGGAGGGTTCCCTGGGACTCCTCTTCCTAAATTTGCAAAGGAAGCTCTGAGCTTGTGGGCATTTCAGAGGCTCTGCCAATTCGTCTTTGCCTGCAGAGTCCTTGGGGACCTGCTAGGAAATGGTCTTGCCGTCTAAGCCCAAGAGGAGGTAGTGAGTTGAGGTCATGGTAGCCTGGAGCCTCAGCCGAGAACTCTGCTTTGTAGGATCCCTGAGGCTCTGACTCTCCACTCCCTCTGTGTCCCTCCTTCTTTCTTTCCATCAACAACTGTATACTGAGTACCTGCTATATGGAGTCCCTAAGTGGTGCAAATGGTTAACAAGCTCAGCTGTGAAACAAAATGCTGGCAGTTCCAAGTCCACCCAGATGTGCCTCAGAAGAATGGTCTGGCAATCTACTTCCAGAAAACCAGCCATCGAAAACGCCGTGGAGCACCGTTCTACTCCAATTCACACGGGGTCACCAGGTGTCAGGGTTGACTCAATGACAAAGGGTTGACTGGAGCCATACTAGGTGTCAGGGACTTATGTTCTAGGCAGGAGTCCCTGTTCTCATGATGGAATCTGGAAGAGCCTCTTACAGCTGCTTGCTCTGAAGCAGAGGTTAGCAAACTCCAGCCCTGGGGCCCAATCTGGCTTTCTGCCTGTTATGATATGGCCCATGACCCAAGAACAGCAGGTACATTTTTAAAGTGTTGAATAAAAATCAAAAGAAGAATATTATTTCATGACACATGGAAGTTATAGGAAATTCAAATTTCAGGGTCCATACAAAGTCAAACTGGGTCCCAGCCATGACCATTTACTTATATATTGTGTCTGGCTGCTTTTTCGCTACAACTGCAGAGTGGAGCCATGATGGAGATGAAGACTGTATGGTCTTCCGAGCTGAAAATACTTACTGTCTGGCCCTTCCCAGAGAAAGGTTGCTGGCTCTTGCTTGAAAGGACTGAATTCCTGTGTCTCAGGTGTCTGCTGAACTATCACTCCACTAGAAATCTTTCCTGATCATTCTCTAATAAAACAGTGTCCCACCTGTTATTCTCTGACCTCTTTCTTCTCTTGACATTTTTCTTCATAGCACTTACCACTGCCTGCAATTATTGTGCATGCATGTCCTGTGTATGCACATATCTACAGCATATGGACATACATGCATCTATATCATCCATAAGGAACTCTGGTGGCGTACTGCCTAAGGCATGTGACTGCTAACCAGAAGGTTGGTGGTTCAAACCCACAAGCTACTTCATGGAAGGAAGATGGGGCAATCTACTTCCATAAAGATTTACTGCCTCAGGAACCCAATGGGGGTCTCAATGAGTTGGAATCGATTTGATGGCAGTGAGTTTGCTTTGGTTTTTTGTTTTAGCTTCATATTTATATATCTGCATCATATAGAAGGAGCTCTGGTTGCACAACAGTTAAAGCATTCAGCTGCTAACCAAAAGGCTGAGTGTTCAAACTCACCAGCCACTCCATGGGAGAAAGATGAGGCAGTTTGCTTCTGTAAAGATTTATAACTCTGGAAACCCTATGGGGCAGTTCTACTCTGTCCTATAGGGCCACTGTGAGTTGGAACTGACTTGATAGCAGTGGGTTTGGTTTTTTGAGAATATACATAGTGGTTCAGGAGCTCTGGTAGCGTAGTGCCTAAGGCACTTGACTGCTAACCAGAAGGCTGGCGGTTCAAATCCATCAGCCACTCCTCAGAAGGAAGGTTGGGCAATCTACTTCCATAGTGATATTGCCTCGGAAACCCAAGGAGGGGTCGCTATGAGTCGGGTCTGAGTTGGTGGCACATAACAACAACAACATAGTGGTTCAGTGGAAGAATTCTCACCTTCTGTGTGGGAGATGTGGGTTCAATTCCCAGTCAGTACACCTCCCATGCAGTCACCATCTGTCTGTCAGCAGAAGCTTGTGTGTTGTTACAACGCTGAAAAGGTTTCAGCGGAGTTTCCAGGCTAAGACAGAGTAGAAACCAAGCCCTGATGACCTGCTTCCAAAGTTCAGCCAGTGACAACCTTACGGATCACGACAGCCCCATCGGCCAGCTGGTCACAGGGATGAAGCAAGACCATTCTGTCGCACATGGGGCCACCAAGGGTTAGAGCCAACTC